GTACCATCCTAATGTAAGGTGTTGCCAGGAGCGGTGGCTCACGCCTGTAATCCCAGCACTTTGGGAGGCTGAGGCGGACGGATCACGAGGTCAGGAGATCGAGACCATCCTGGCTAACCTGGTGAAACGCCGTCTCTACTAAAAATACAAAAATTAGCCAGGTGTGGCGGTGTGCGCCTGTAGTCCCAGCTGCTGGGGAGGCTGAGGTAGGAGAATGGCGTGAACCCAGGAGGGGGAGCTTGCAGTGAGCTGAGATCCCGCCAGTGCGCTCCAGCCTGGGCAACAGAGTGAGACACTATCTCAAAAAAAAAAAAAAAAAAAAGAAAAGAAGAGAAAAAAAAGTTTATTATTTAAAAAATAGGGAAGCTTTTTATGTTCGGATAAGGAAATGACTCCAAGACATACAGTAACCGCAAAAGCAAGATGATGCTGGCACAGAATAGAAATGATACACACTTTCTGTGTATAAAGATGTGTATTGGGGCTGGAGGGGGAGAATATATTTTCATATTTGCTTGTATTTATACAAAGAAACTTGGAAAGATTCACAAGAAATTCCTATGTAGCCATGTGAGTGAATCACGTATTCGGACAAATAAAACCCCAAATGTTGGCCGTGAGGTGGAAGTTTTCGGTGTTCCTAGCGATGCCTCCTCCTCAAAGGCCTGCCCGGCCTCCTCAGCTCCTCGTTCCCAAGCCCTTTCCGGGCTCGCCCCGCTCTTGCTCACAACCCCCAATGCCTGTCTGGCTCCCGGAATCTGGCAGAGCAACCCAGCCCTCTCAGCTTGCATTAGGGCTCAGAGAGCTGAACGATCCAGACACGGGTCACACCCAGGGACACACGGGGCAGGGATCCAAGCTGCACACCAGGACATCAAAGCAAATGACTTCTGACAAAAGCCAGCCTTACTAAACACAGGTGAAGGAGACATTCTTTGGAGAACAATTTTATTAACAGTTTAAGAAACTTAGAAGTGATACAGTAAAACTACTGTAAATCTGTCCTAAAGAAGGAAAGAATATTTTTATTGTTGTTGTTGAGACGGAGTCTTGCTCTGTTGCCCAGGGTGGAGTGCAGTGGTGCCATCTCAGCTCACTGCAACCTCTGCCTCCTGTTTCAAGCGATTCTCCTGCCTCAGCCTCCTGAATAGCTGGGATTACAGGCGTGCACCACCATGCCCAGCTAATTTTTCTATTTTTTGATAGAGACAGGGTTTCACTGTTGCCCAGGCTGGTCTCGAACTCCCGGCCTCAAGTGATCCGCCCACCTTGGCCTTCCAAAGTGCTGGAGTTCCAGGCGAGCCACTGCGCCCGGCCCCAGAAGGACTCTTTTTAAAGGGGAAAAACTCTAATTTCACAGCAGCATCCTTGCCGATGGTAAGGCAGGAAGCTGTCTAGATGTCCAACGGCAGGAGAGTTAGGCCTGGGGAGGGTGGGGTTGCATCTCATACGGGTGAGGGGTCCAGCCAAAGTCACTCTTGGAAATCTCTTTAATCACCCATAAAGTAGGACATTTGCGGTTTAACATGATAGTCCTTAGCCGTGATAAGACTTTTTTTTTTTTTTGAGACTGGAGTTTCACTCTGTCGCCCAGGCTGGAGTGCAATGGTGTGATCTCGGCTCACTGCAACCTCTGCCTCCCGGGTTCAAGCAATTCTCCTGCCTCAGCCTCCTGAGTAGCTGGGACTACAGGTGCCTGCCATCACGCCCGGCTAATTTTTATAATTTTAATAGAGACAGAATTTCACCATGTTGCAGGTTGGTCTTGAACTCCTGGCTTCAAGTGATCCTCCTGCCTTGGCCTCCCAAAGTGCTGGGATTATAGGCGTGAGCCACTGTGTGCCTGGCCCATGGTACGGAATTACTACTGTGTCATACACACAGTAATGTGTCTTGTATACACTATGCAAAGTCTAATTTTACAGGGTTTTTTTTTTTTTTTTGAGACAGGGTCTCACTTTGTTGTCCAGGCTGGAGTGCAGTGGCTCATCCATGGCTCACTGCAGCCTCGACCTCCCAGGCTGACGCTATCTTCCCACCTCAGCCTCCTGAGTACGTGGGACTACAGGCGTCACCACGTCTGGCTAATTTTTGTGTTTTTTGTAGATATGGAGTCTTGCTCTGTTGCCCAGGCTGGTCTTGAACTCCTGGCCTCACGTGATCCTCCTGCCTTGGCCTCCCAAGGTGCTGGGACTGAATCACTTGTGCCTGACCCAGTATTTTGTTTTTAAAGATGGGGTCAGCTGGGCGTGGTGGTGCATGCCTGTAGTCTCAGGTACTCAGGGGACTGAGGCAGGAAAACCTCCTGAACCCAGGAGGCAGAGGTTGTAGTGACCTGAGATTCTGCTACTGCACTCCAGCCTGCGTGACAGAGGGAGACTCCAACTCAAAAAACAAAAAACAAAAAACAGATGGGGTCTCCCTGTCACCCAAGTGGCAGTACAGTGGCGTGATCGCAGCTCACTAGTCTCGACCTGCTGGGCTGAAGTGATCCTCCTGCCTCCGCCTCTCAAGTAGCTGGAACCTCAACTGCGTGCACCACGCCTGGCTCCGGTATTTAGAGTGCACGTGTGCTGCTGAGTTTACCAGGGGGTCTATGCAGAGTGTGACACCACTGCACTCGTTTCCGGGGCACACTCATTTCCGGGGGACACTCATTTCCGGGGGACACTGGCCATCACGAATGTGACACCACTGCACTCATTTCCAGGGGACACTCATTTCCGGGGGACACTCATTTCCAGGGCACACTGGCCATCACGAATGGCCGCTCTGGAGACTGGAGTGGTTGGAGGCCGGGTGGGTGGTCTTCCTTGCTCCAGGCACTGATGCCTGCTCCCATCTATCAGGGAAGTGCCTCAACCCTTCCAGCACCAACGCACCAAACAAAAACATCACTGTATCAGGATGTGGCAGGCCCCTCAGGATTCCCCGACGTTCCAGACGCTGGCCAAGCCTGTGTTGCCCTCGCCGATGATCCTGGCTGCCGCCGGCATAAACGTCGACTTGACAGTGCATGGGTAAAACCACGGTCCTGCTGACGTCTGGTCCCACGTAACGATCTCCCTGCATCAAGACGCCGATGTCTGGCTCATGATCCCCGACCCTTTACAGTGGAAAATGACCCAGCAAAACAAGGAGGGTGTGTGTAAAACTTGGAGGTGCAAACCCGAGGCAAAGCAAGGTTACCTCTGCATAGAGGGCCCATCTCAGGAGCGGCGCCCAGAAGCCATGGCAAACACAAACAGCCACGCCTGAACATGCCTGGTTGCGTCTGATCGAGGAAGCTAAGCAGGGTTGGGCCTGGTTAGTACTTGGATGGGAGACCAACTGGGAATACCAGGTGCTGGAGGCTTTTGGTAGAAAAACAAAACAAAACAAAAAAAACCACTACATACAAAAATTTTTCCATGTAAAAAAAACCTTAAAAAAAAAGTCAAAACAGCAATGACAAATTGGGGCAAACATTTACAAAATAAATAATACCAGAAGGCTAAGTCCCTTAATATGTAGAGAGTGGTTATGACTGAAAAAGAACTCCATAGCAACACATAGGCATGGATGCGGTTGAGTTCATAAAGCAACATAAACGCATTTTTAAACAGAAGAGAAACTGCGCCATTTGACTCATCACTAAAGAAATGCAAGTAAAATCAAGCCCTTTCCATCTTTCTGATTTAGCAAAGATAAAAATGTTTGCAGACGCTGCACCAGGAGGATGTGGGTAACATCTGCCTGAGGACGGTCACCACGGCTCTGCCCCGGCAGCAAAGGCCACCTGCGACCCCAAGCAGCCACTGGGGAGCCTGAACGGAACCGCAGTGCGCCGCAGCGGGAGGAAGCCAGCGTCTTCCCAGAGACGGCTTCGTGTCCAGGTGCAGAGGGCCTGATGAGTGTCTGTGGGATGGACGGCTACTGCAAGCCGTGGGTGGGGGTGGGGGGCCCCGCGGGACGTCATCTCAGAAACCAACACATCAGGAGACGCCTAGAGTGCTACATAAAGTCAGCCACCGCTTGTGAGAGGAACCAGGTATATGGGACCGTGGGGGTGGGGGTGGCAGAGGAGCCTGGCTGTGCAGGGTGCAGGCCACACGGCTTTGCTCTCTGCCTCGTCCAGGGCCTGTGGCATTTCCGAGTCGTTGTGGGCAGCTGTGGGGCCTGTGCCTATATGTGTGCCTGGCCCCACGCACCCACCTGCTCCAGTTTGCCCACCTGCCTCACCTCACCCACACTGGCCTTTGTGGCAGGCAGTGTCTGGACCCCAAGTGCCATAAGGAGGAAAAAGTGTAATTCCCTTTCTGGGTTTTGGTAAATTGGCAGAACTGAAAATGGAACGACCTCAGCACAGCAGGGGTTTAAGTGAATGCCAGGGAGTTTCCTTCCTGTGGGGACCAAACTATCACTGTGACCTGACCGCAGCAGACAAGCAGCAAATCCTCATTTCTGGTGTAAGGACCTTATGAGCCCCAACTCCAGGTGGCCGGACCCTCAGCTACACACAAATTATGTTTCCACTGGGGCGGCCAAAGGCTGCAGTGGAGTCCCGGGCATCCGCACGTCAGGAAAGGCACCAGGAGCAAGCAGCCAGCGCTTAAGGCAACACGCGGTGCTCGGCGCGGGGACGCGGTGCTCCGTGTGGGGACGCGGTGCTCGGCGCGGGGACGCGGTGCTCGGTGCGGGGACGCGGGGCCGGGCTGCTCCCCTGCTGTGTGCCACCGCGCAGGGAGGGCCTGTCCAGCAGCTGCAGCATGGGTGCCGGCAGGGACACACGCCCACGGGGAGCGGACGGCCTGGGAAGGGCGTGCGGTGATCGCAGGAGGCATGGGATGGGGAAGGAGAGTCCAGCGGCTGCTGTCAGAGGGCTGGGGGCCCAGGACAGGGAGGCCCAGCGCTGCCCATCTGTCTCCGCCACACCTCCATGACCACACGTATAATAGATGACAAACAGTCAAACAGACCCAGAAGCCAACCAAGGAGAGAAGGAAGAAACCACGCCAGGGTCTAGCTAGAAAAGGTGTTTCCTCCCATTTTATTTCATAATACATTTTCACAGAAACATGATATATTTACAAATATACAGGTAAGAGACTGCTGGTCAGAAATCTTAAAACTGAAAATGTCATCAAAAATTAATTTACAAAAGCCACCGAGGGTCCATGGAGGCGGCCAGGTGGATGGTGTGGCCAGCGTCTGCGTGAGCCTGCCCAGAAGCCCACGCAGCCTCCCAGCTCCGCCTCCGCTGGCCCCGTCTCAGGAGGCGCTGGTTTGCAGGTTTTTGGAAGCTGCAAGCATCGCTCTGACTTTGGCCATGAGATCCTGTGCAGGGCGAGACACAGAGGAGAACCTGTGAAGACCTGGCCAGACAATCCATGCGGTGAAGAAATTCATCAACGAGCTGGTGGTCAAGACCAAAGACAGTGCTTCTAGCACAGTGGGGGTGGCGGAGGAGCCTGGCTGTGCATGGTGCGGGCCACACGGCTTTGTCCTCGGCCTCACCCAGGGCCTGCGGCATTTTGCCTGAGATCCCTGTCCCGTGCCGGTGTCGATGACGGGAGGGACAGGGAATGAAAATTAGCAAAAGAAAATCCACGAGGCCCCTTGATGAAAGGCTGGGAGTGGGAGGGGGGCACGCCCACTGACCTGAGTGATTTTGCTCTGCACGGAAGAAACGATTGCTGAAGAGATCTGGGCTTCTTTTTCCTGAGAGACTCCCCTGATGCAGAGAGAGAGAGAGAGAGAGAGAGAGAGAGCAGAGCTTACCACCGTGTGAAGACGCTGAGCCAAGGCCAGCGAACAGCATCTCCACCTCCAAACCCCAGCTCGAGGACTGAGCAGAGCCCACTGCATCTGCTTCCAGTATCCTTTTTTTTTTCTTCCCCCAGCCAAGAGTTTCACTCTGTCGCCCAGGCTGGAGGGCAATGGCATGTTCTCAGCTCACTGCACCTCTGCCTCCAGGATTCAAGTGATTTTCCTGCCTCAGCCTCCCGAATAGCTGGGATTGCAGGAGTGCGCCACCACGCCCGGCTAATTTTTGTACTTTTAGTAGAGACAGGGTTTCACCATATTGGCCAGGCTGGTCTCCAGCTCCTGACCTCAGGTGATCCACCCACCTCGGCCTCCCAAAGTGCTGGGATTATAGGCGTGAGCATATCCTTCAATAAAAACAGGCTTCATAAACATGCTGTTACACGCATCTGAAATGTGTACAAACTGCAATCTAACTAAAAAAAATTTTCATATAAAATTACCTTAAACACAAAGGAAAAAAGAAACAAAGAAAGGAAAGATGCAGCAGAACAGTGGAGCCCTCCCAGAACCACGGCCTTGAGTGGGTGCCCTTGGCCTGTGCACGAGGCGTCTGTGTGGGGAGCCAGCACCCCTGCCCCCCAGCGATGCTCAGCCTCCCGCACTGATGTGCATTTGGCCATTATCACATTTTCAGAGACAGGGTCTCTCTCTGTCACCCAGGCTGACGTGCAGTGGCGCCGTCACGGCTCACTGCAGCCTCCACCTCCTGGGCTCAAGCAATCCTCTTGCCTTAGCCTCCTGAGTAGCTGGGATTACAGATGCATGCCACCTATTTTTAGTAGAGACAAGGTCCTGCCATGTTGTCCAGACTGGTCTCAAATTCCCACCCTGGCCTCCCAAAGTGCTGGGATCACAGGTGTGAGCCACAGTGCCCGGCCCGATTGACATTTTAGCTCTAAAGTTGCCACCTCTTAGCGATTCGGATCCATCTCAAATGAGCTGAGGCCTCTGCCACCTGAATGGAACAGTCGCACATCCCATGATTCACATTTACGGAAGCAATCAGTTTAAAGGGAGCTGCTGTTCCCAGATGCCGCCCTCTGGTCCCTCCAGGGTGTGGGTGCCTGGGCAGTGGAGGGTGTCTGACTTGAAGTCATTATCACCTAGCCCAGGACTGGGACGCCACATCTGTGCTGCTGCCCAGGTGTGATGCCCGGCAACAGGTTGGCGTCATCTGGCCCTGGCCGTTGCAGCCTGGGGACCTGCTCCAGCCATGGCAGCCTGGGGAGCTGCTGACAGTTCCAGGTCTACTGGTCACTGCAGAGCCCAGTATGCCTGGGGAGCATCAGGCACGTGTGTGACACCCGGGCTGCTTGAAGTGGACTGCTCCACTCCTGGGCTCTGCAGGAGGCTCTCCCCAGTACAGGACCTACTCCTCTGAGTGCTCATGGATTGTGAGAAGCCTCGTCTGGGGGACTTCCTTGCTACAGGGAGTGTGGTTGGCTTCGTGGCTGGTGCCCCCCAGGACACAGGCAGGGACTCAGGGAGGGAGGGAGAGTCCTGCCGGCCACCCCTTGCCCTTCCCCAAAGAGAGCCGCTGGAGGACAGGGGTTACCTGGAGCGTTCCTGGCTGGAGCCCCGACTCTCCACAGGGGAGACGCTGGCCGAGTGGGCTGAGGGGGCCGCGGGCCGGGGAGCTGCCTGCTTGCTGGGTGACACCGACTGAGACCTGGCCTTGGACTTGGTCCGCGACCGGGACCGCCTCTTCTTCTTCTTCTCGTGGGGACTTCTGAAAGGCAAGTGTTTCTGTGAGAGATGGACCTTTGGTTTAAAGGCAGAGCACAAAGGGAGAAGCTCGGACCTGAGCCAGTTTTTGGGTAAGAGTTCGTCAAGGCACAATTCAGGGATGGAACCATTCCAAACACATGAATTTTTCTTAAAGCAACTTATTTCACTGAACTGATAACTGACAACGCGGCAAATCGATCCATGGGTTTAACAAAAGTCACCCAGCACACTGAAGACGGTATGGTCTCCCTGGAAGAAGCTTCGTCCCAGTTTAGGACCTCAAGTAAAATACTTGTGGTATTTAAGATGCAACCAGCATTTTATTCACATGCAAAATACGTAAGATAAGCAACCATAGGCAGTTCACAGCGCTTTGCCGCTACGTTTCATCAATAAAAATTTCCAAAATGATACAGGAAATTATTAAAGTATCAATACATCGAAGTTTAGCGTTCCTTTTTTTAAAAAAGCAGACAGGGTTTCGCGCTGCTATCCAGGCTGGAGAGAGTGGTGCCATCACAGCTCACTGCAGCCTTCACCTCCTGACAACAAGCAACCTCCTGCCTCAGCCTCTCAGACAGTTGAGGCTCGGGGCGCAGCTTCTGGTGCTGCTGCTTCCTTTTTCTGAAGAGATGGGGTCTCACTCTGTTGTCCAGGCCGGAGCGGTGCTTCTTTCTGACCTGCCAGTTGCCCGCCGCTTGGTGATGCTGCTTAGCCTCTGGGCAGTGGAGCCTGCTCTGTGGACAGCAGCTCAGCTCTGACTGCTGTCGTTCCCTGTCCTCTTGCCTCCCAGAGTCCACATCACCAAACTGACAATCCCGTACCAGAAATGCTTGCCAGACATTCCGGCCTGCACCTGCCCTTAGACCATCCTTCTCTCCTGCCTGTAGAGGCCGACCCTTTGGCTTCCGCCTGGTCTAGCTCCTTTCCACACCTGAGCCACGTGGCCCTCTTGGCCACTCCTCTACAAACACTTAAGAGAGTGAACACGTACTTGGTAAAGGCAGACAGGCCTGAGCCCTTCCCATGAGGCCCTCCAAGCCCTGAGGTGCCCTACCTGGCATCTTTCAGAATTCATCTGTAACAGACGCTGCAGCCTGCGCTTCTGGCCCTGAGTACAGAGTTTCTTGGAGAGTCTTTGCATGGGTCATTTGCATCACTGATTTCCTTCCTTCCTTCCTTCCCTCCCTTCCCATCCTTCCCCTCCCTCCTTCCTTCCTTCCCCTCCTCCCTCCCTCCTGTCCTGCTTGCTGGGGCCTGGACAGGATTTCCTTCCTTCCTTCCTTTCCTCCTCTATCCTTCCCCCACCTCCCTCCCTCCTTCCCTCCTGTCCTGCTTGCTGGTGCCTGGACGGGATTTCCTTCCTTCCTTCCCTCCCTCCCTCCCGTCCTGCTTGCTGGGGCCTGGACAGGACAGATCCTAGGAGTAGGGCTGCGGGGTCCGCTGCTGCAGAAGCTGCCAGAGGCCTCCTGGCTCAGCCTCACCCTCGCTATCCAGGTGGACCCAAACTGCTCAATCTGCCAACCTGAAGGGGGAACCGTGGTTCTCTGCTGGTGTCTGACTCTCCTGGGGTTGCTATCTGCACAGCTTGCAAGCGTCTGGCCTCCCTTATGATTCTGTGTGCCACGAAGCCCCTTCCCAGCCTGGCCTCTTCTGTCTTCCAGGGAGACCCCCAGGGCCTGTGCACAGGCCCAGTTACCCCAAGCCCTGCCCCTCATCAGGGTCTCCCGACTTCATGCATTTCTTTTGTGCCAACCCCCAAGATCTGGAACATTCTTGCTTAATGGCTGGGGCTGTGCTCACAGTCTGGGGTGCAGACCCCCATCAAGGGGCCATACCCTCTACCCATCTCTTGGACCCCACTAGTGCATGGCCCTGCAGAGCTCGGACAGAGCTGTGGGAGGAGGGGCCACAGCATGCCCTGGTAGGGACAGCCCCGATATGCAGAAGGGGACTGAGCGTTTCTGTCCGGGCTCCCTTGTGTGGTTCTGGGCATGAGCAGACTGTGTTGGTGCCAATGAAGTGACCTAAAGCAGCAGCGCCAGGCCTGGGGCACTCCCACCCAGCTCCATTCAAACAAGGCAGGACCTGCCAGAGGCGGTGCTGGCTGGCAGCTTAAATCCAGTTGCTGGAGGGGCTGTCCCTGGTGAGCTGGGCCCGGACAGATGACCTGGCATCTTCTGGAAGCCTGCCTGATGTGCCCAGTGAGGACAAAATGTTGTAAATGGAGATGTTGCTCTTACTGTTCAATACGCCCATGTGGGATCTGTACACAAGTCATTTTTCTAAATTGCAAAATGTTTTGTGAAATTTTTGTCTATGAATACATGCCAGGATTTCAAAGGGAGCAGCAAATAAATAAAATATATACCAGCATGTGACATGTGTCCGAAATGACTTACTCTCGAAATCCAGCTGAGTTTACGGGGCTGCATAATGAACAAAAGGCAGGTTACTAATCCTTAACTGTAAACTGGCTCAATTCTGCTACAATCTGATCTAAGCCCTTGCTGAAGGAATGAAGTAACTCATTCATTTTTTTAAAGTACTGAGGTGCCACTGGGTGAAACGATGTCCTCGGTGCTGGCAAGTGCGCACACCCTGACACCTGGGCCCTATCCACGCAGGGGTGTCTCTTCCTTCCAGAAAGTTCCTCAATGCCACTTCATCTATACCTTCTCCACCCTGAGCGCTCCCCACTGCTCTGATTTCTAGGGCACAGCTTAAAGCTCTATGGAAATGAACCCCACACTATGCCTGTATTTGTTTGCTGGTTTGGCTTCTTGGTTTTCTGTTGTTTCTCAGACAGTTTCCCTGTTGCTCAAGCTGGAGTGCAGGGGCACAATCCCTGCTCACTGTAGCCTTGACCTCCCAGGCTCCAGGGATCCTCTTGCCTCAGCCTCCCAAGTAGCTGCGACGACAGGCAGACGCCACCACAAACGTTTTTTTTTTAAGTAGAGATGGGGGTCTCTACTTAAAAAAAAAAAAAAGCCTGGAAATCCTGGGCTCAAGCAATCCTCCTGCCTTGGCCTCTCAAAGTGCTGGGATTACAGGTGTGAACCACCACACCTGCCCTGTGTCTGGCTTCTTTTGCTTAGCAGAGCATGTCTAGAGTCCTCCATGAAGCAGGGTGACCCTCCATGTGTTTCTTTCACCTATGAATAGTATTACATGACAGGACGCTACCATCGTCTGCTGATTAATTCTCCTGTTAATAGAGAGTTGGTTGTTTCCCGTTTTCGGCAATTATCAATCAAAGTGTTTTTGGTCCAATGTTGACCTACAGAGGAGGTCACAGCGAGGAACAGGACAGCTGGGTGAGGGAGTAGGTGTATACTTAACTTTACAAGAAACTGCAAATACTTCCCAGCCCAGTGTCTGAGAGTGCAGCTGCTGGGCCTGTGCCCACTCTCCCCAGAGCCCGTCCAGTCCTGTCTCACTGGCTTCATCAGCACGGCCCTGACTGCTGACTCATGCCGTTCCACAGCTTTCCATGTGCTTACTGGCTATTTCAGTAGATCCTTCTGTGAAGTCGGCTGGCGCCATCTGCCCCTTCTTAATTGGGTCCTTTGTCTCTTTGGTACCGACACAGGCTTTTGCCAAGAGATACACGCCGCAAAGCCTGCGCCTGCCTAGTCATCTTCTTAACTGTGCCTTTTGAGAGAAGTTTTTACACTTCAATGAAGTCTAATTGATTTTTTCCTCTTATCAAGAGGGCTTTCCACATCTTAAGGAATCTCTGCCACCCTCAAATTCATGAACATACTCTGTGTTTTCTTCAAAAAGCGTAACAGTCTGATCCGACCTGAATTAAATTTTGCAGATGGTGTGCGCCGCACCTTTCCCGTTCCGGTGTCCGGCTGTCCATGCAAGTTTTGTCGGAAAGACTTTCCCGGCTGGGCGCTGGGGCTCACGCCTGCAGCCACAGTATTCTGGGAGGCCACAGCAGGAGGACTGCTTGAGCCTAGGGGTTCAACATCAGCCTGGGCAACATAGCGAGACCCCATCTCTAAAATAAAAAAAAAAATTAGCCAGGCATGGTGGCGTGTGCCTGTGGTCCCAGCAGAGGCAGAAGGATTCCTTGAGCCCAGGAGGCTGCAGTCAGCCGAGCTGAGCCGAGATCCCACCACTGCTGCACTCCAGCTTGGGCAACGAGTGAGACCCTGTCTCTTTAAAAAAAAAAAAAAACACTTTCCTTTCTTTTTTCCATCACTGAATCACTGTGGCTGTGGCCCCAGCCCCCTGCCCTTTGGGTGATGAATTTTTTCTGCACTTTCTACTCCATCCCACTGTTCTGCTGTATCCTCATGCTGAGGCCACACTGCCTTGGTCACTGCAGCTTTCTGGTAAGTCTTGAAATCTTGCTCTTTGCCAAGGAGGCTGTTTCGGCTCTCCCAGGTCATCTGCATTTCCACACATGCTTCGGAGTTTGTGCCAATTTCTAGACAAGCCATGGGAGCTCTGAGTGGGACTGCACTGCATCTCTGCACCAACTTGTGGAGAACAGGCATCTCAGTAATGCTTAGGTGGCTAATATTTTATGAAGTATTTTTGCATCTATGTTCTTGAGAGTCCTGGTCTGGAAACATATACGTGTGTGTGTACACACAGCACTGGTCTGTGAACACACACACGCACGCACACACAGCACTGGTCTGTGAACACACGCACGCACACACAGCACTGGTCTGTGAACACACACGTGCACACAGCACTGGTCTGTGGACATGCATGCATGTGCACCAGTACTGATCTGTGAACACACAAGTGCACACACACAGTACCGATCTGTGAACACACGTGCACATACAGCACTGGTATGTGAACACACACATGCACACACAGCACTGGTCTATGAACACACATGTGCACACACACAGTACAATCTGTGAAAACACGTGCACACACAGAGCACTGGTCTGTAAACACACATGCATGCGCACCAGTACTGATGTGTGAATACACACGTGCACACACAGCACTGTTCTGTGAACACACACG